CTACTTTGGGGAAGAAAATAGATAGCTGAAATAGAAATAGAGTTGGTTTTGCTTGGTATTCCAGCAACCTTGCCAAATGTATTTACGAATTCCAGTAGTTTATATGTATAGATGTAGAATTTATTTGTAATCATGTTATCTGTAAATAACATTAATCTATTTCCCCATTTTGCACCTCTTAAGCCCTTCCTAGCCCTTTTTTACCTCTATGGCATTTGGCAGTGACTTTTAGAACAATGTCATTTAGAGGTAGTAATGGTGAACATCCATGTCTTATTTTTAGTCTAGGAAGGGGAGTTTTTCCCACTGATACTTAATTTAAATTCTCTTCATCAAGTTAAGGAAATTTATTCCTGTTTCTGTTTTGTTAAGAGCTTTTCTCAGGAGTAGTTGGCAACCTTTTATCAGTGCTGTTTGTGCATGTATTAAGATAAATGTGGCTGTTCCCCTCTGTGAAAATGTGATGAATTACATTGATTATTTTTTAAATGTATAACTACCTTTGCATTCCTAGAGTAAACTTTTTAGTTTTAATGTACTCTCTAAATATTGCTGGATTAAAACTTGGTGTCTATATTGGTTACTTTTCTGTCCATGATGAAACAAAATACCTGACACCCAAAATTAAGTAACCAATGGCTTATTTAGCTCACAGTTTGTAGAGGTTTCAGTCCACAATCAGCTGGCTCCAAGGCAGGATGTCATGGCAGAGAGGCAACATTTTTTGGTGGCAGAAGATACCAAGAGCAAAAAGGGGAAGAGCAAGCCTCCTTTCTTCCCTTGTATTTTACGCAGGCTGCCCCCTCCTAGGGAGGGTATAGCACTTACACTACCAATCCAAGCTCTAGTGAATCAGTCACAAACTCCATATTCCGCTGTCACCAAATAGCCTCCCTTCCATGATGGCATGAGGCTTTGGGGGACATCTAGACAAAAACCGTAAGTGTCCTTTCTTGTATTTTCCTACTCAGGTTTTGGTATCACTGCTGGTCTCCTTGAACAAATGTGTAAATAGTCTATATTTGGGGAATTTCTGTTAAGATTAGCATTTCTTATTTGTCTGAATTCAAATACTCCTTTGTGGGAAGAATTTTAAGTACAGATTTTTTCTAAGTTGTGTTTTGTAAGGATTGTGAATCCTTAAAATTTTCAAAGTTTATTGGCAATCTTTTATTAATAAGACTATTACATTCAGTCTTTTAACGTAATTATCTCTTAATTATTAGTATTTTCGTACTCTTTTTCTCTTCACAATCCATCTAAATTTTCAAGTTCATTGGCAATCTTTTATTAATGAGAATTTACATTCAGTCTTGCAATCCATTTATCTCTTAATTATTAGTATTCTTGTATTACTTACTTTTCTTCATTCTAGTATTATTTTCTCTTGCCCCCTTTTATCTTTCATTAGTGTTAGAGTTATATCACTTTCATTCCTCTGAAAGAAATTTTTACATCTTACAAATTATTTTGTTAGCTATGCATACTTAGATATTTTTATTCGTGTATATTAAGTATAGCTCTGTCTACAGCCACATTTTTTATTTTATTTCACTATATCTTTCTATTCAGAATACTTCATTTCCTTTTCACTGATGAGTTACTTGAAACACATTGCTTAAATTCCAGGTAATAGAATATCTAGTTACCATTTTGTTATTGCTGTCTAAATAATTTTAGACTTTTGATACTTACTTAATCTTGATCTTTCACCCATCATGTGGGAAAGTTTTGGTAAATATTTTATGTACACTTGTGAAAATAATGTTATTCTCCTGTTGGTAATGTCAAATTCAAAATCAGGTCAAGTGTGCTAATCTCTGCTCAGCAGTTAGAAGAAGGCTGTGCTCAGCGTATGTGCTGAAGTGTCATCCATGCTGCTTTGCCCAGTATTCCCTCTTGCATCCTACTTCTACCCATCCCAGCATCTCACTGGTCTTCTTTCTATTTGGTGCTCTACCGGGTATTTGGGGGGCACATAATAAATGGATACATTTATATTTTTTTATTTCCCTTTTTATACAAAAGTTACCCTGTGGTTATCCTTTATACTTTGGATTTTGTATAATCCTTAATGTATATCCTGGAAAATATACTTAGTCAATTATAGGGATCTTCCTTTTTTCTCTCTTGCCTCTCTGCTCAACAGATTCATAATACTTCATTATGGGAATGTATCATAGTTTATTCAGTTACTTTCCTATATATGGGCATTTAGGTGTTTTCCGTTACTTTGCCTGCAATGAATAACCTAACGCATATGCATTGTCATATTCTTCTAAGTATGTATCTTAAGTAGTTTGGGCTGCTGTTAAGAAAAGACATCAGCTGGGTAGCTTATCAACAAGAGAGACTGAGTTCTTGATTCAGGTGCCTTCTATGGTGAGGGCCCTTCTCAGGTTGTAGATAATGTTATAAGGTTGTGGATGAAGGAAGCAGGCTCTTTGTTACTCTCATGAGTGTACTAAGCCTTTCAGGGAGGCCCTACTTCTATGACACCATCTCATTCTAATTACCTCCCAAAGACCCTATATTCTAATATCATCTCACTGAGGAGTAGGTGTCAACATAGGAGTTAACGGACATAGAGAATGAGTCCAGAGTAGTAATCTTCAGCATAATTCCTTGCAGTGGAACTGCTGAATTAGCAGAGATAAAGAGCACATGTAGTTTTGTTAGGCATTGCCAAATACCCCTCCATAAAACTGTACCAATTAGAATTCCCACTAGCAATTTATGAAAATTCTTGTTTCCTCACACTTGCAGGCCTGCCTCCCTCCTCCTCTGTTTAAAAATCATTCAGCAGTTTTTATATGTTCACATTTTTATTGAAATAAAATTTCCCTAATATAAAATTCACCATTTTAATTACTTCAGAATGTATAGTTGAGGGCTTTTAAGTTTTATTCACTATGTTTTGCATCTGTCACCACTGTCTTAATTCCAGAACATGTCTGTCATCACCAAAGAAACCTTTCCTATTGGCAGTCATTTCTAACTCCATCCACTTATCCCTGGCAGCCAGTGATCTGCTTCCTGTCTATGTAGATTTGCATATTCTAGACTTTTATATAAGTGGGCTCATATAATTTGTGACCTTTTATGCCTGCTTTCCACAGAATAAATGTGTTCATTATGTTGTAGTATGCAGTAGTACTTCATTCCTTTTTTTGGGGGGGGTGGTGTATTGCATTTTCTTTATCCAGTTTGTCCACTGGTGAACGTTTGGATTATTGTTATGTTGTGACTGTTACAAGTAATGCTGCTATGAACATTCACATATAAGCTTTTATATGCATGTACATTTTTAATCTCTTATGTATTTCTGCTAGTGGACTTGATGGGTCATATGGTAGCTCTGTTTAATCTTCTTAGGAACTGCCAAACTATGTCCATAGTGAATATACCATTTTATACTTTACTAGCAATGCCTGAAGGTTAAAATAGTTCACATTCTTGCTAACACTTGTTACACTGCCTGTTCATGTCTTTTGCTCATCTTTGTGTCATTTTTTCCACATTTAAGAAAAGTATTAGAGTGTTAGCTTTCATTTGCCCTGTGATGTATGTATGGTATATTTTTTTCTTGTTTTTGTCTTTTGGCTTGGTCTGTGGGTCGGTGTCCCCCCGCCCCCACTTGGCATACTAAATGGAAGACATTTTGGATCAAAGAAATATCATTTCTACTTTGTTTGCTACCATCTTTCTGTGTGGAACATTGACCCTTTTCTTTGTAGATAAGTGGAACCTGGTAACTGAATCCCACCTGTAATGGTTCTGAGCAGAGATTGTGCTCTAGATGTTGAGGCCTCCTCTGTGTCTCACTGTTCTTACTGTAATAATGTCTTGAACTCTGAGACCTATTTCCTAGACCCTTTGACCTGCCCTTCACTATGCCTTTTGCAGCTTTCTCTTGACTGGAGTTCAGGACTCCTTGACTGCCCTGAGGGGACACCAAGTAGTGTGTTGACTCAGTCTCCACTGTTCTTTTCTTCGCCAGCTTAACTGGCACCTTGCTGCCCAAAAGTCCTCCTGGTGCTTCTCCGACTGGTTGCCATTTCTTGACTCTTCTGGCTGTCAGGCTCTGAGCTGCCAAAGCCCTGTGGGAAGAAGCAGCTGTTAAGGAATCAGGTCCTCTCTACATCTGTGTCACTCTGTTTCGTCAGAACGTCTCTGCTTTGAGCCACTATTTGCATTTTGTTTTTAAAATCTGGATTTTAGAACTTTTTTCAGTAGGAATTTATTTATTTATTTATTTATTTTAAAAAAGTAGAAGGAAACCATTAACAGACAGACATCCATTTACAAAATAGCATAAGAATAATACAAACAAGACAGAATTACAGACAAACTTGTAGGAAATTGACCATGGTTGTTGTATTACTTACTGATAACTTCAAAGTGGTTTCTCAGGAAAACAGAGATATACAAGATTGATCAAACAAGTAATCATTAACTGTGCCTTTCTGTAGAGTAATATGACAGTAGTAGAACTATGTTAATTATCCTGTATATACATACTTACATAATTTCCCCTTCTTTCCCTTCTCTTCCCACACCCCAGTTCTTAGTAGGAATTTAAAGATCTTCCAACTATTCCCCTATCATACTTGAAAAAAATGTACTTGTTTATGTATTTTTGGTTTTCAGGTGTTCTGTGGCTGATTCTCTTGTTAAGCAATGACTTGACTAAGTAGAAGAACTTTGTTTTGATTATAATTGTCATTGCCTAATACGTAGAAAGTCAACTTATATGAAGAAAGAACTTTTTTCCCTGAAGTAGGCAGCAAAACAAATGTTTGTTATGCTGCTGTGATTTATAGTCCTTGGTGGGGGGCAGTGATTTATCTTGGTGGGTTAGGTCCTTGTCCTCCCGGTCTCCTTCTGCATGTGGTACGTCACAGAGAGAAAATGGAAAACAGTGTTGATAATAGAAATACCAACATTGTAATTCATAGATATCAAATATTGTACACTGAAAATTATTTTTCTCTTGACAGAATATGACAGATACCTAGCATCTAGCAAAATAATGGCAGCTGCTTACCTTGACCCAAACTTGAATCATACACCGAATTCAAGTGCTAAGACTCACCTGGGTACTGGCATGGAACGTTCCCCTGGTGCGATGGAGCGAGTATTAAAGGTCTTTCATTATTTTGAAAGCAATAGTGAGCCAACCACCTGGGCCAGTATTATCAGGCATGGAGATGCAACTGATGTCAGGGTAAGTGCTTTCTTTTATGTGACCTCTAAGTTCTTACAAAAATGACAGCCAAGTTATATCTTAGTTATATAGTGGTATTGACTTGTTCTTCCTTCCTTTTTAATTTTAAATCTTGGAAGAATGCAAGGAAACAAAACAAAATAGCCCCTAACACTTCTGAGAAACTGATTTTCTAGAAGCTGTAACTTTTGAAGTGTTTGCATAATTCCAGATAAAAGTTTTTTTAGGAACTGTGACTGTATGCTATATACTAAACACTGTGCTGAATTCTGGGTATGTAGAAATTCTGTATTAGTGAGCTTTTCATTACTATAATGAAATTCCTGGGGCAATTAGCTTAGAAACAGAAAAGATTTATTTTGGCTCAGTATTTTGGAGGTTCTTTCCATGACTGAGTGACTCCATTGCTTTGGCCTCTGGCAAGGCAACATAACATGTCAAGAGTACCTGACAGAGCAAAATACCCGTCACCTCATAAGGGAAAAAAAAACAGAAGAGGAGAGACTAGGATCCTACAGTCCCTTTCCGGAGCACCGTGCCGGAGGAACCTACCAATAGCACTACCTTGTGGATCAAATGTGGAGTTTGGAGAGACACTGAAGGTTCAAATCATAACAAAGTCCCTTTAAAATTCTTGCTTTTGTTCCTTCAAATTCACAGGGATGGGGGAAATAGCGGGTGGTAGCGTGGTTTTAATGACAGCACAGTGTAGTTCAGTGCTTCTGTGGAGATTTAAGTGGAGGAGTTCGCATTGCCAAGGGTTTCCTTTGGTTTGCAAGAGGTGTGAGAGCTGGTGAAAGAGCAGGCAGCATACAGCTGAGGGTTTGTTTCTAAAATTGAGGAGTGAGCGGGTAACAGTCATTTCTAAAAGCTGGGCTCAGTGCATAAATTTTCAGAAAGCATTTACTTTGATCAGGTGCTGGCAAACACTTCCTTCTGGCTCTCTCTCCACTAGTCTGTATTCATCTGTAAGGGAGCAAAGGTGACCAGTGATGAAGAAGCTTATCTATGTCATTTTTCCCTTTTTATAATAATGAAATTAGTTAATTTGCTGGTCTTTAACTTAAATGCTTTTACTGTTTTAAGCAAAATAAAGAGATAGGTAGAATTTAGATTTAAGGCTAAAATCTTTCATATGAGTCATAAATAATTTTCTGTTACCTTTGTACAAATGCAATATTGGTTGGCTAGTCAGATGGATTATTAAAAGGGAATGATTCAGGATGGAAAAATATATCGTAATATCTACTCATATACAAATTGAAATATGATAGTTTTTTTAATAAGATTTTTATGACACTTGTTGGTTTTATTCTCCTTGCTTTTTCTAGTTTTGTGTTTTACGTCTGATCTTACAGACACAGTCACTTGGTAGAAAGGCCTTCCCACAAGTGTCCCCCTATAATGTTAGTCTGATATTTTTGTAATATTAGGTAATTTATACAGAAAGAAACCTTGTAGCTGTAACTTTATGGGAAGGCTCTAGGTGAATGTTCTAGTTTGTAAATTCCAGATACGGTGAATGAGGAAATTCTTTTTTTTTGAGGCAGGTCTAGCTATGCAGTGCAGGCTGGCCTTGAGCTCGCTCTGTAGCCCAGGCTGGCCTTGAACTTGCAAAGATCCTCTTTCCTCAGCCTTGTGAGGGCTGGGTTACAGGCATATGTCACCACACCCTGCACAAGGAAATTCTTTTAACATCAGCCTTGATAAACTTCTGAGTATTTGTATAGGAAGGAAATCTTTTAAAGTTTATGCATTTGACAGATGTTCAAGAATTATTCTGTTAGAAAATTTATCCTGCAAAGACTATGAAACAGCTCTGCCATGGTTTTAATATCATATTTTCTGCAGTTGAGTGGCTTACTGTCCTGGAGAGGTCTAGTGGTTACTGGAGACAGGCTAGACATCGACTGATACTAAAAACTTACATCGGGTATACTTGAGGGGTTATGTGAATATATATATCAAAACTGTTGTAAAGGTCAGCATGACCAGTCCCTGTAACCAAAACGCAAGTTGTTTTATTTCGAAGGAACTGATAAATGTTGAAGTTTAATTACCATTATCAATTGATTTTCAGCTAGAGGCAGAAAAGTCTCAATTGGCATTGAATTTAACATAGCCGTTTCCTGAGGTAGCATGAAACCTGAAAGATGTTGGGTCACTTAGATGGAAGATTGGAGATTAGTCATTATCCACTCCATTAAATGTTTTCATGTGATAACATTTGAAAACGCGGTGTATATTTCTGTTTTAAATTAGTGGGTGGATCGTGCATCTGAACAAAATAGTACTGAAGAACATATCCTTGACATTTTTCTTCCAAATGGTAGCAGACAAAGGAAACTTATGGATAGAGAGACTAACATATCATTAAGAAAGAATGAAATAGAGGAAACAAAGCATTTGTGCTCTTGATGGCTCCAGAATAAGAAGAGGACTGAGTTAAAAATATACATGTAGTGTCTCAGCAGGAAAAAATAGAGCATGTAATAGTAGCAAAGGGGAAGCCATGCCAACCATTTTCTGAAACAGTATGGCTTGTTGCTGCCTAAATAATTAGATCAGCAATTATAGCAGTGCTGTCCCATGTTTTGAACTTGTTGGTTATTGAGCACTTGAGTGTGGCTTACTGTGAATTGCATGGGCTGAAGGTTTAAAAATATATTATGGATTTCAAAAACTCAGTATAGTGTTGAAAAAGTGTAGAACATCACATTAATAGTTTTGTATGATTACATATGAAATACTTTCAACACATAATTGGATAAACATTAAGAATTGAATTTACTTGTTTCTTTTTACTCTTTAATGTAACTAGATATCTTGCTATTACTTATGTGGCTTACATGGTATTTTTACTAGACAGTTGTGCCCCATAGAAAGTAGCTGAAAGACTACTTGCATCAGAAGAACCAAAACCTTTTGAGGAGATTAAGATTTGCTTTTTCCCAGGAAAACATCTGGATTATTATATTTCACTGTAGAGCTTTTCTTTCTGTTTGAATAAATAAATTCTACTCTTTATGTATATGTGCTGTTTAATTAGTTTAAATGTTCAGTTGCTGAAAAAGTTCACAGAATTCCGCAGTTTATGGGCAAAGTATCAAATATAGCCACAATAGTATAATCATGCCCATTTCATGGATCTAGTGATATCAGGTACAAGCTTCTGTGTCTCAGACATGCTTTTTGTCTAGACTGAAGTCCATCACTGGCTTCATGTGCAGCACCTCCTTATGAGGAAGCTTCCCTGCCTTGTGGTGTTGTGTCTGTGAGAGGGTCATATGGGTACTCTGCACCTGCCTGACCAGCCTCTGTGTAGTTACTAAAGCACTACCAAAATCATGCGCAAATTATAAATCCAGTAATGATTATTAAAGAGTGCTGCCAGACTATTAAATCATTGCAGGCATCACTTATCTTGGCCAGAGCTTTGGCCAAGTGTCAGTACTATCTTCTAAGCTGCTGTGGAGGTTAAGTGTGGGATCAGTCCAGAAGAGCCAAGATTAACCCAGCTTGTACAATGCTAAGATAGTTCATCCAGGAACACTGTAGTGATACTTAAGAATAGTGACTTAAAGAAAATTCCACATTCTACCTGAGAGAATTTCCTAGAGAAAGCAGGGCCATTTATCCAGACCTTTAATAAGCAATGACCTTTCAGGTACAAGAAAATACCAGAGTAGCATCTTCAGAAGGTTCAGGAAAAGTAATGTCTACCTCAGAACCTGATAACAGATAGATTATCATTCAACAAAATCAGGAGTGGTGGTAACTCCAAAGAAATAATGTGTAGAAAGAAGCTGCCATTTGAAAAACAAATGATATAGAGGAGCATGGAAAGTGAGCCCAGAGCCTAGGAGTTCTACCACTTGGAATGATGTTAAAATCGGAGGATCATCATGACACCGCTTTATTTTTGTTGTCTCTTAAGCTACAACTGAGATTATGCCATTGTTCTGCCTATTCTGTGCATGTACCCTGACTGGATTGGTCTCCTCCTAGATTTACAGCCTTGTTGCTTACCTCATTATTGTGCCTTGCTTTATTGCACTTCTCAGATAGTACTTTAAAAAAAAAGATTGAAAGTTTGTGTCAGTCTTGTGCTGAACATGTCTTGTTGACAGCATTTTTTAACATTATTTGTTCACTTCATGTCTCTGTCACATTTTGCTAATTCTCACAAAATTTCAGACTTAAAATCAATTATCTTGTATGGTGAACTGTGATCAGTGATCTTTGATGTTATTATTGTAATTACATGGAAACTCAATGAACTGCATCCTTGTAAGACTGCAGACTTAATGAATTATATTTGTGTTCTGACTGCTTTGCCAACTGGCCGTTTCCTACCTCTCCCTACTCCTCTAGTTTCCCTAATCCCTGAGACAAGAGCACTGAAGCTGTTCCAGTTAACAGCAACGAAAGTGGTGTTTTAGAAGAGAACCTACTCCTGGGAAACGTGGCGTGCACAATATTGAAATGATAACAAAGGTTTTAGAAAAGGACATAAACTTAATAAAGCAGTGGCAGATTTTGAGAGGATTGATTCAAATTTGGAAGATGTTCTGTGGGTAAAGTACTGCCAAACAGCATCACATGTTGCACGGAAATCTTTTGTGAACGGAAGAGTCAGCTGCTGTGGCAAATGTCATTGTTGCCTTTAGGAAATTTCCACAGCCTCCCCAACCTCAGTAACCACCAGTTTGAGGAGTCAGTAGCCATTAGCACCTAGGTGAGAGACCTCTATGAGCAAAAGAATTAGGACTTGCTGATTACTCATTTGTAACAATTAACTTTAAAAATTAAGATATGTTCACTGTCTGCATCTAAAATTTTTTATTTGTTTATTTTCTGGTACTGGGAATTGAACCTAGGGCCTTTGCACTGAGCGATATCTTCAGCCCTTTTTAAAAAATATTTTTGAGACAGTCTTGCTAGTTTTCCCAGACAAGATTTGAACTTGTAATCCTCCTACCTCAGCTTCCCAGAGTGCT